TTGAAATGTTATAAAAATAATTATTGTCATAAACAGAGAACGATTATGATATAAAATTAGTGTAAATGTTTCAATATATCTTTTCATTGATTTGGACACATTTTTCCATAACAGTTGGTTTTTACTAGAGCAAATATTTTGAAATTTACGATTCGATTCACCTAGGCAAAACTTTGGAAACCCCTGTTTTATTAAAATCCTGTGAAACTATTTTTGAGATATGTTTTTCAACAGGTCGATTCCGCGGAATCGAACAATCATGTCCAACAGTTACAGAGTTCGGGATCTGTAATGAGTCGATCGATAAACGAAGAAAGCTCCGACAATGGTGATAACAATTCGACAGGAAGGAGATTGCAGAATTTAAGTCTCGTGAAATTATTTATGAAGCAGAAGAGTATGAGCGCCGAAGGAATGAGCCTGGATCAGTCAGACTCTGCTAGTGATAATGGATGGCCTACGAATAACAGTGCTAGCGATAGTGGCACTAACACTAATACCAATACACAAATACACCGGCAGAATATAAATAATTTACCTAAGCGTCAAATTCCCGAAGGCGACTTCTCTATAAATTGGGTAAAGAGTGACGTCCACAGCAATCAGGAAACGAAGGATCAGAAAGATAGTCTCAGCGACATTCCAAAACATACGTCGACGATAAGCGAACAGAAAGACGAAATGATGTCGTCTGCATCCGTAGAGGAATTATCGGAGAACATGTCTAAATCAGATATAACTCACGACAATGACACAGATCAAAACGAGTTCGATATCGTACCAGATGCTTTCGATCATCAGCCGACAACCGCGTGGATCAAGCCCCTCGAGAAGAAACATCCGATTTGCAAGACAACAGGAATTCAAGCGATAGCTCAAACGGAGGATAACTCGGCCCAAACCTCGCTACTATTTACAGCACTCGCGAAAGAGAAAGAGAACGAGAATATATCGTTAAGAGAAACGATCGTTAATAAAAAGCCGGTTTACGTCGTTTACCCAAACTATGCTCTGCCGGATTTATCGTTTCTCAATATCAAAGATACGAAACTGAATAACGTAGCGTTGAAACCACAGTCCTACGGAAAAAGTAGAGTTACTTGGAAGCACACGGGTAAATCTGGCAGGCCGTTTTCGTGTAACGATATAGACGCGCTGCGTCAGCGTGGATTTTCACACATCAAGGACTGGGAATCGTTGACATTCCTCTTACCTACGGAGTACAAGAAAATTTTGCACGACGTGCCGGAAGTCTCGAGACATATCAACCTAAACGAGGAAGTGAAGAAGCCTCTGTTCTGTCTGTCCCCTCCGATGCGTCATAAAACTCGCACCATAAACGAAATCATACCAAACACCTCGTCCTCCACCAGTAGCACAGCGACGCAACCGTCCTCCGGGTACCGGGGATCATCTACGATATTAACCGACTCGTCGACGAATCAGCAAACGTTAAACAACACAACCAATCCATTGTATCTTTACCGTTACGATAGTATTAGTTCCGAGGCCAGTTTAGTAAGTAATGACAAAAAATTGCACAGGCAAGTCACCAAGGCAAAGTCGACTTGTCCGTGTCTACCGAAACGATCAATTTCGCTACCTCACGGAGACCGTGAGTCTGAATTTTCTAATGGAAAAGTACCACCGAGGCCACCTTTACCCAGAAGTATTTTAAGAAAAACCAAGGTTCCTGCGAGTAAGAGATATAGCATGTTTGAGATGGGAGATGTAGAGGAAATCGAAGATCCAGCTCCCGAAACGAATAAGAGGATGTCTTTGCAAGAGCCATATTATATGAATAATGATTTGCAATTGGCGTATCGCGGGAGAATAGTTGATTCGGAGAAGGACGTCGACGAGATGGAAGAGAAATATCACGAGATAGCTAGCACCGGGGATGCGGAGGCTGAAAATTCTGAGAATAGCGAGGACGACGTTAAGCAGTTGGAGGAATTTTTAAAGCGCAGCGGTTTCTCGTCGCAGAGCAGCGACGGAGACACGGAAGATCCTGACATTAAATTAAGATCGTACGTTAAGAAATTTTTATCTCTCAGGATGAACAAGGATGTTACCAAAGCTACCGATATGATAGAATCACAGAAAAAGACTGTCAGTTTTGCCGTAAACCAAAGGAAAAAATATTTAGATAATAAGGTAATTAATAAAAACTTTATAATAATTACTTCAAATTTTCGATCACAATTTAGTATAATTCCGCTATGAAGCTTCGATGTACTGACGATATGCGAGTTTTACAAACGTTAATTAGAGCTCACATATACTATATTTCATAATAAGTACAAGAAAATTATTTATATGTAACACGTTTCGAGTGGTCAAAGTATTTTATCCTGGAATTTAGAACACGGCTCAGAAATAAATGGTAATTAGTATTTCTAAATGGTATTCTAAGCTCATTCAGAATAAAATACTTTGAGCCCTCGAACCGTGTTAGATATGAAGACTTCACTTATGTTTGTTACGAAAAGAATATTATGGATATTTTGCTTTTTTCAGACTAACAACTTGAATATTACAAACGAGCAGAGTAAAGATCCAACATTCGGAGAAGATAGAAGAACGACGAGTTCCGATGATAGATTAGACTTGGATGAGAAAAGGAGTAAGTAGATAATTTAACTCTTAAGTTGTTTTGAAATAGGTGAATAAATTATTGGAAATGATTTGAATTTTTAGAAATGATACTGTCCGCGAATAGAGCGGTAGATTCATTATTGAAATATTGGAACAGCGAGTCGGGCCATAATAGACAAAACTACAATGACAAAAATGAATGTGCTCAAATCTGTGTCAGTACTTTATGTCCAGCTTTGTACGCTGTCATGTTGGATGGCTTAAAACCGCATTTAAATTCTACGTTCGGACCAATAACGAATAGCGTCTGGCAAGTAGTCGAAGCATCTTCTCAACAAGGTCCAGTTACTAAAGCGTTAAACGAGTTAGTACAAAAAATCAATGGCGAAGATGTAATTACAGAGGGAATGCTGAAGTTTCACGCATTTGTATTTGGATTATTAAAGTAAGTACAATTAGAAAACTGTATTATATACAGTGACATTCGGACACATTTCAAAAATGGAACAACTGTTTTAATGCGACGGATATATATGTATGTACGTCCTCGTAAGTTTATCGATAAACCCGACAGATGTAAATATACACAGCAGCTGCACCGACTCATATGCGAATACATCGTCGCAATCAAAGGGTTAATATTGGAACAACTTAAATTATTGTGGGATATTAAAAAACGTAGTTTACTATGCAGAGCGTTCGGCTACTGGAAAAACTTTAAATGATGCTAAAACCCAAAATAAGAAAAATTAAGGAATAAAAACATTGCATCTGAAGCTCTGTTCTTTACTTATATGCGGTTAAAAATAAAAGATCCTTTCGGCACTGGTTTTCAGATAAATCTAACAATCTAAACACTAGTATACCTCACAACAGGTACCGTTACGATGAGCGCGTTGTACTTTGGGGACCACAATGCACAATGATGGTCCACTGATCATCAAAGTGCAACGTGCCCAATACAATGGGTTAACCGCTAGGAGGTATTTAGAGTTTTAAACGTTCGTTGCCTCAGATCCACAGGCGGTACGCAAGTTTATTTATCATCAGTTTTGTAATAAAACATCGCACTTATATTTTTTTGTATCAATTTCCGGTGGAAACTTGATCAACACTTAAAGAATTTTCTCTGTTTTCTGCTCATCTACGAGGATTTCATACACATTGAATCATGTTAGTATTAATAAATCCCGATAATTGATTATGAATAACCACGTGTATTTTTATACTGTCTTCTCTACTTATTAACTCTCTTTTCAATCCTATTAAAGCTGTAGCGTTTTGTAGCTTTATTACATATTATGTAACAAATCAGGTCTCCTAACATCTCAAAGAAAATGAAGTTGTTCGATTGAATATTAAAACGCTTATTCTACTCTGAAGTGTGTCCGAATATTAATACGAATCACTGTAAGCGTATCTATTAACTAAATTATGTATTTTACAGCTTAAGGGCTTTGGATGCATGGTTCGCATATTTATGTACGAGGGAGTCCATTCTAAAGAAACATTATAATAGCAATAGTTTATTCGTGGCAGCCTTAGCTAATACAAACGTTCGAGAAATAGTCGACGCTCTTTTATACACTCTAAACCCCCTAGCATTCTGTCCATTTCAGCTTGATCTACTATATCAATATCGCCAACTTCATAATAGCCTTGGCAATTTAAATAATCATCCCATGAATGTAAGTCGAGCATGCCCTTTATCTTCCACTCATTTATCTCTACGCTCTAATACCTTCCAGGCTGTAAACTTTCGAAACGTCGACCTTGCTACTAAAGAACACCATTTCGACAAAACGGATGCATGTACAATGGTTTCTAGTCCAACTCCAAGTCCAAGGAAAGTTCGTCCACGATCGTGCGTCGCTTATGGAAATTACAACGATAAATCTAGTGGTACATACAAATCGGATATGGAAACTGTAAAGAAACGCTTAAGTAATCCTATAGCATCGAAAGTATTCCGCACTTTTGATAAACTGGCTTCCGAGGATTCTGAAGATTATACCGACAGTTTGGAACATTCGCCGTTGAACAGAGCGTCGAGTAAACAATCTGCGCCAAGGAAATCTCGCAGCCTGGAGAACAAGGCGGAGGAGAAAGATAATGTTATGCTCGGAGTGGAGAAGTTTAAGAACCTTCAAGAGAAATGGGAAATGATGCTCGGAAAAGAAGAAGCAAAAACTCAACCGACGGCGTTGTCGCCCTTGTCACCTACGCGAACGCCTACAACGAATGTAGGGAGGTCTAAAATACCCAGGCTTCTTACTTCGCCGGTGAAACAATCGAATGCGGTATCGGGACCTGTTAAGAACACGAAATCTCCTATCTCGGGAATTCCATCGTTAAAGAAACCTGTCATGCTTTCGACGACGAAAACCACGCCAAAGAAACCCGTAGAAGTAAGAGGCAAAGATGTGACAAGACGCACCAGTAGGGTGGATCAGGATGTTGTGGGGGCAACGAGAACACATTTAACGCGACCCAGTTCTCTTCCTTACAAATCCTACGGTGTCATGTCCAAGGAGAAGAATTTAATATCTCCTCAGAGACGAGCTGCGTCCACGTCTTTACCAAGACCAACCACTACCGCTAATACTACAAGAAATCTTGCGAAGAAACCGCTTAAGTAAGTACAGAGTACAGTAAATAATAGGGGTATGCAGGTATCTGAAGATTCTGGTCGATCTCAGATCGGAATGCCGAAACTTCGTTCATTACGTAAATTCGTTCGGGTACTTTTAATTTCAGAAATCGACGTTACTAAATTCACATGATTCTTCAAAGTTAGTTTAAACTTTAAGTTTAATAATATTTTCATATGTTATCGTGTATAATCGGACGTAAGAATCCGTGAGAGAAAAAAGCAGTACATTACATGATGTTTGAAAAGTTGATATATTTTAAATTGAAATGAAGAAAAAATAACACTTCAATGTCCTCTCGTATGAATTTGTTTCGTACTGCTGTAACAATGTTATCAGCATCAGAAATAGTCGCTCGCTGGAGATTTGTGTTAAAGAAAGTATTCTCTCACCACTGTTGCTAATATTGAGAATCATCTAATATTTGATTAAAATTTCTACCAATAAATGGTGTTTTTTTTTTTTTAAATTCTCTAAGAAATGTATTTCTATCTCATTATTTAAAGAAAATGCAAATGTATTTATTACATCTTCCTGATTACTCATTACTCAAAGTACTTTGCTCTGTCGTCGATTCCCGAGTGGGTTCGAAATTACGGGTACCCGCATACTCCTAATGAATAAGTATTGTCCAAATAAATATTTGCACGAATATTTATATTTATTTATTTGCACGAATATTTATATTTACTTATTTTCACTTATCAAATCCCGTAGAATTTTATCGTATATTCATTATTCTTACAGCAACTGCGATTCTTTTGTTTATAGTTTTAGAGCTTAATCTTTGGTTGTTTTTCTTTTCCCTTTTGTAGATTAGTAAAATAACACATCGCGCATCTCGGTTCCAGAGAAGTGCGCACGCTCACGCATAGAATCCCGTCGGATAACGGGCATCTTGCGTTCGCAGAAGGTGAGAAGCTGAAAGTGATTCTCGAGGTAGATAATAAATGGTTGTTATGTGCGAGAGGTGATCGAAAAGGTTTGGTTCCGCGGATGTGCGTGCACAGCATTCAGACTTAGCCCCGTACGATTAAAATGTCAGAGGAACAATGGTAAATGAAATTCTACGAGACTTCGGCGCTCAGAAAATAGTCGATGAAAAGAAGAAGCACGTTGTACAGTGTATCAAAGGAGAAACATAGAATTGTTTTTAAAACATACGGTATAGTAATTGTCATTATCACGATTATCCATAATTAATTGTTCGAAGCTTCATTTATATCGAATTGCTATAAGTATTATCGATCGTATTGTCATTGAGACGAGAATCTAGATATCACCGCTAGTCATAGGCTTTCAAACCAGATTATATTTAATTAAATGAACATACACTATTTATAATCAGAATGTAAATATATACAGTAAAATATAAAGACGATAACGACATGTAATACATTATAATATTATCAATGTAACTGTGATCATAGTGTATAGGTAAGTTTATTAATGCGACTGTGCGGCAATGTTGGACTTTAGTTTTAACGCTCTAACTTATACCTTTTATTCTTATCAATTCTGTACGATTAGCACGATTAACAAGTTTTATTTGACCCGATGTATAAATTATTATATTGCGCGTTTGTGGTTCGCAAAAATCACATTTTTTTACTTGCTTCATGTATTCTTTAGTATGCCAAGGCATATTATACTATAATCAAATAAAATGTAAAATTGTAATTGTATTTCTATGTGTATATACTTCCTCGTCCAAGCAACACACTCCCCGTAGTCTGAGCTGTCTTACCTATTTAGAACTTGAAGATATTCAGGCGAATATATTGGCGATATTAAAAACCACTCACTACGGAATCGTTGATCCATTACGCTACTTCTCTTATGTTTCCACGCTCCTATCCTTAGAGCATACCGAGCATACCTATACTACTGGAGGCAAGTGAGAAAGTGTGGTCAGTGTCACTAGATAGAAGAATACATGCTGTCTCTCTCGCTCCGCACGCGATTGGTTTAAAACTTTCTTTAAAGTCCATGAATGATAATTATTTTTTTAGAAATTTGTTCGTAAAACACTGGCGATTTGATATGACCTTCTTTCAAGAGTTTATCACCGTTTTCTCTGGATTGTTTTCGAGATCAAAGTAAAATTTTCTTTGGGTTATTGCTGCAGCAATATAACTCTTATATAAGAGTACATACAAATTTTAAGTCACTATAATTTTTCAAAAAACCCATGAATTGATTTAGAATTTTACAGGTAGCTTTTTAATAGTAATAGGAATCTATAATAACAAATTCAACATGCTAGCATCGTTTAATATCCTTAAGGAAATATTGCTTATTACATTTTGCGTGCTTCTAACTATGCAATTTTCGTGGAAACAAAAGAAGTATAATGATGTAACACAAATAGTGATTCGTTTTCATTCCTAACATATCAATAACGTCATTTTATTACAAACCAAAGACGAAGTTGTCTACATATTCAGACATTTAAAAAAATGTTACATTATTACAATATTACTTCTCCAAGCACCGCTTTCTGTTTTTTTCTTTTTTTATTTCACTCCCTCTTCTATAATGTTAACGCGTATATGATCGATACCATGATCGTTTCATATTCTGAGGAACTTTATCTATAACCGACACTCCTTGTATATTATTTCATGAAAATGATAAGCTTCCGTCCGAATCGATACCTTCTTACGTTATAAAAATTCGTTCTGGTTATCGTTACAAAAATTTGTTACTACGTTACGTGATACGGTTTTGAAAACGGTTCGATCCAATGTGCGTAGGAACGTTCTATTGCTACAAATCACGTTATATTTAAATGATAAGAAATTATTTCCCATTAATGTTCGCGTTTTTAAAATTACGTTTCGCTAGGTTCTATTTACAGTTACCTTACGTCAGACTCGAAGCGCGCCTGCGACTACTTATAATACAATACGATTAATTAACACAAAACGTGAAATGAATTTTTCGGAAATTTATGTGACACGGTTCTATCAGTCGAAGTTGCATAGCAGCGAAATCAACGCAACAGTACCAAAAGCAGACAATACAATACTTTTAAGATGACATACGTACATATACGTATGTCAGATATGGTATGAAACGGATTACGGTATCGGAAGTTTCATACTTTAATAATAAATTCCAAAAAACATTCATCGTATTTACAAACATGACTTTAATGGATATCTCAGAGCTAGAGAAGGAGAATGTGTTTGATAAGTTTTTGCATTCGCGATAAATAATGAAGTAAATATTCGAACGTTCGGGTAATTCAACGATCAAGCCCAACCGAGACTCGGTTTCCGATCCGATCCAAGAAGTCGAAAACATCGAGTAACTTCAATAAAACTAAGCAATTCGAAAGAATCGAGTAACTTTACATACAGTAAAGTTTTCTGTGTACACATACATTTGCCCTCAATAATATCCGGACATACATAAAACGAAATAACTTTCTTAACATTGTAATTTTTTCTAATAGTTCATTGCTTCAGATATTGGACCCAGCTTTTTATTAAACTTCAGCAGTCCACATAACCTTAAACAAAAATGAAGTCGATAGGTCCAATATAAAAAACGAATCTCCGTGTTCATCAAGTATATCTGAATATTAACGAGAGTCACTGTACATATTCACGCTATGTTTTATCCTTCTTGCATTTGTATACACTCCTTTATAAAAATTCTGCATCGCACGTCTTATTTATTAATAAAATACGCATAATTGGACATAACTTTTTTAACATCTCCAAGTCGACCACAAATTTTTTTAAATCAATTATTCAATTGAATGGTTAAAAAACATCACATGATTAAAAGTGAATATCTAGCA